AGTCTAGTTCACAGTGCTTAATTACATTCTCAAGATTGTCTCTATTAAAAAAGATTGATGGCAGTAGACGTTAGGCTCCTGCAAAACATATGACTCAATTTGTTCCAAAGCAGTCCACTTAAGTGACAAAAAGCACATGAGCAGTATCATGCCTGCCACTGGGTAGTTCTAACAACTCTCCCAGATGAGCATCAATACTATATAAGGGGAAGAATATTAGTCATAAGACAGGTATTTGGTACAGCCACATGAAGTTGCTACATGATTAGTTTCACAGCTACAGCATGGGTGGATAGAATCTCTTGAGGATATCAAATGGTAAAAAAGATTGTAGAGAACAGTTCAATCTTTAATTTCTATATACTTTTCTGTTGTTTTTTTTACATTTGTAACATAACATAACGTAACTTTATCGTCCGTATACAATTTCTTGCATTAGGAATTTGCCTTTTCGCATACCCCAGCTTGCACTCCATGAGATACAGACACAAAGACAAGGAGAGAAGCTTGGGGTCAGAGCGGAGGATCAGCCATTGTACAGAGCTCCTGGAGCAGTTGGGGTTAAGGACCTTGCTCAGGGGCCCAACAGAGTAGGATTCCTCTGCCGGCTGTGGGATTTGAACTGGCAACCTTCCAGTCACAGGCACAGATCCTTAGCCACAGTTTTCTACTTGTCACCGCAATAATGATACATAAGATGAGGATGTTCAGCCCATATAGTCTGCTGGTGGGTTAGAAGCCACTGTAATTGATTGGAGGATGTCATACAGCTGTTTTTAAAAGCTATCAACAATATGACTAGGTAGCTTGGTCCATACTATCTCAACTCCTCATGTAAACAACTGCCTCCTGTCTTTGGGTTTAAATGCTCCTCCAGTTTCTACTTATACCATAGTACTTGTCCAGATTTGAATCCTATCTAAATATTTTAATTTTATTTTTCACTTATGCTGCGTTTGCTGTGCTTCAGATTTTGGTATTGTGAAAGATCTATGTCATGGACATGAAAACACCACTTCAACACAGATGTAAGACGAAGTTCCAAGCTTTTATTGCACACTTTGCTGAATAGCCAAAACAAGTATTCCTCAAAACAAACATCTAACCAGAAGCTTTCACTGCACCAATACACATGCTACTCTTGAAAATAGTCTCCCTACAGTATATCCCCATGACACATCCAAAACCACCTATTATTTGAATGTGCACACCCAATCATACTTGGTTATATAATTTGGGAACCCATTACACAGTTTTGTAATGGTACTGTATCTACTGTACATCTTTACAGTTCTCCAAGATTCATAGAAATGTAAGTTCTTCCATGGTAGACTAAAAGAACCCATTCTGCAAACATGACTGGTTACAGGAACTACTTTAGCATCTGTATCAAGGCTCTCCATCTCAATTGTTACAATTCCTAGTGTCTTCTGTTTTTTTTGTTCCATCCACATTTTCATTTACATTGTTTAATTATTTCATTAAATGCATAACTGTAATGCTTGTAATCTGAGTTGATTTTTAGAAAACTGGGCACACAGTGGCATAGTGGTTAGTATTGCTGCTTCACATAACTGGGGCCCTGGGTTCAGTTCCTGGAGTGTACTCTGCAAGAACTTTGTGTGTTCGCCCCGTGTTCATGTGGGTTTCCTCCTGGTCTCCTCCCATAGGCCCACAGTACTGCTTTTATAAAACATGCCCTGCTATAAGTACAGTATATCTGTATTTGTCTCTGTGTGTCTTTGTGTGCCCTGCAGTGGACTGATATCCCATCCAGGATGTATCCATCCTTGTCCCTGTTGCTTGCCAGGATAGGCTCTGCCCCCCAACATGACCCAATACTGGATAAAGCAGTTTAGAAAAGAATGGATGTTCCTTTAATTAAGGGAATGTCATGTAATCAACTACAAAAGAAGAAAAAAAACTATGTTTAAAATTATTAGGTTAATTGTTTAATTGACTGCTCTGGTTGGAAAACCAGAAGACATCTGTCATTCCAGGAATTGGGCTGGATTTAATTAAATTGTCAATTCTTTTTTGGTTATGCTATAGATGACCTAGATATAGATCGAGATATAGATGACCATATCATTAGTTATTAATACATTCATTAAGCACAAATGGAAAGAAAAAAAACGTAATCCTGTGGCCTGTACATTCCTTTTTAGACCTAAACATGGCACACCTCTGGTGCAAGCAGATCTGTCAAATAACGAATCTGTCATAATATCTGCTGTTTTTTTAATGCATATGGTAACTCACTTGCTGTCTTGTTAACACCTTATCACGGAGCTTGGAGACCTGTCACTTGTTCTAACTGACAAGTACCATTCGACAGATTCTGTGTTATTAATCATGGAACTGCACACTGTGTGTGGATCTACTTCTCACTTCAAAAGCTCATTGACTGACAATTAAAACTGTTCCCCAAACAACATGCGCATACTGCACATACTGTACACACTATCATTCACAATATACAAAAATGCAGAATAAAAGGTTACTCTTGAGCCTTAAGATTCTGTACCTTCCAAAAGCTTCTAAAGTGATTAAATAAAACATCAAATGCACTGTTATAGATGACCTCTGTTTTACTATTATAAAATATAATAGCAACACAAATGAAATAAACATTTAGCATTCAAGGTCTTTTCCTAGTACAATCAAAGACTACTCCTTCTTGAAAATCTAGCTTTGTAAAGTTAGACAAGATTCTCTCTTGGGG